AGAGAAAGGAGGAGGAGGAGAGGAAAAGGAGAGGAAGAGGAGGAGGATAGGAGGAGGAGGGCTATGGGGTCCTTAGTCCTCTCTGAGCTTGGTGGTTTTCTTGCAGACCTTCCATGACCCAACTAAGCAACACCATAAACCATAGAAATCACATGAGCCAAGCTGAGATAGCACCAAGGCCTCCCCAGAAGGGCACCTGGCCTGACCTCCCACAGTTCTTCTCATTTCCTAGGCAAAGTTCATAGAAGCCGGGAATCCTGGTTACTTCTGAGCAGGACTTGGGACATCTCTCTTTGGAGAAACGGGTTTCATTCTTAAAAAGGCGAACATTCTGCACACAACCAAGGCTCCTCAGAAGTGGTCCAGGCCAAACCCAGGTTGTCTGTCTGTGTGGGACAGTCCTGAGAAGATCCTAGTTCTCCCCAGGTTGCTTCAGAGGCCCCTCACCTGTGCTCGGTCTTTCTTTTTTTGCTTCAGAGCTACCGGAAGTCTTCTCGCCACCTGGCCTGCTTCATCACCAAATTCGTGCAGTTCATTCACAAGTACATCACTTCCAATGCTCCGGCCGCCGTCTCCTTCCTGCAGAAGCACTCCAGTCCCCTCCAGTAAGTCTCCTGTCTGGGTCCCAGTTGGGCGTTGATGGCTGTGTCCGCATTCCAGAAAACCTCCACTCCAACCAATAACTCCGAGACAGGCATCTTCTCAAAAGTTCTTTTTTTTTTATTTGGATAGAAAACTGGCACATCTGGGGAATCCCAAATCTGAAAGTTCTGGGTTTCCTTGCAATAAGAAAAAAAAAACACTATAAATCCACCCCCTGCCCCCATCATCACATCACATGCGCCAATTCACCATCCATCCCAATGAGACTTCCCCTCACCCAGGTGCAGAAATAACATGACCTTGACTTAGAAAAAGAATGCTATTACGTCTAACCACATACAGTCCAAGAAATTCCCCCTTCCCATTTTCCTATGCTCAAAATGTGGCAGTGTGGGAGCCTCTGGTCTCAATACGGCTCCCAAAGCTGACAGGCTAAGCCCAAGAGCTGGGGCAGTTTTGCTCAAGGCCTCCACACTTACCTTTGGCTTCTCTGCAGTGACCTTTCCTCGGACAACAACGACCTGGCGATGCTGAAATCTCTTCTGGCTGGTCTCAGCCTGCCCAGTCGGGCTGGCGCTTCGGATCGGGGAGCTGAAGATGAAAAGAACGGTGAGTCTCGGGGTCTTTGTGGGCAGATGGTTGGGAGGTGAGTCACCTCATTGGTTCTAAAGCACATAACCCTGGTGGATTTGCCAGTGGAGCTCTTGAGTGATCGAAGGACACTTGGTTTGTGTACAAACCAGATCCCTCACCAGTACAATGGAGTGGAAGTTAGTTGCTCTAGGAAGTACCTAGCAATAGCCCATAGACTTATATATCGCTTCCCAGTTCTTTGCAGTTCTCCCTAAGCGGTTTACAGAGTCGGCCTCTTGCCCCCAGCAATCTGGGTCCTCATTTTACCAATCTTGGAAGGACGGAAGGCTGAGTCAACCTTGAGCCAGTCAGGATCGAACCTCTGGCGGTGGGCAGAGTTAGCCTGTAATATTGCATTCTAACCTCTGGGAGGGAAGGGAAGGGAAGGAAGGAAGGGAGGGCAACAGCCCTAAGGCTTATATACTGCTTTACAGCCCCCTCTAAGCCGTTTACAGAGTCAGCCTCTTGCCCCCAGCAATCTGGGTCCTCATTTTACCGACCTTGGAAGGACGGAAGGCTGAATCACTCTTGAGCCAGTCAGGATCAAACTGCTGGCAGTGGGCAGAGTCAGCCGGCGGTAGCACTTAGACTTCTCTACCGCCGTCGTGTGGTTTCAGATGAGGCCGCAGCTGGATCTTTGCCCCTGGTCAGCGTCTCCCTCTTCACGCCACTCACCCCGGCTGAAATGGCCCCCTACATGAAGAGCCTGTCCAGGGGTCAGAACGTCGAGGGTAAGTGAAAGCGAGCCCCGCTTGGCTGGGGAATTCTGGGAGTTGAAGTCCACACCTCTTAAAACAACCAAGGCCGACAAACACTGCCTTGATGAAGTCTGTCTACAGCCAATAAAAGCTGCCAACCGATGAGGCAGCCCCGTTGTAAATTGGCACTGTTTTTTTTTTTTTTGAGCATCCCAAAGAGGCCTGGGAATCGACCGCCCCCCCCCCCCCCCCCCCCCGCCATTTTCTTTGGGTTTTTTTATCGCTTTCAAATTGTTCCCTTCTTTCCCTTCCATTTCTTAGATATCTTGGAGGTTCTGACCGACATCGACGAGATGGCTCGGCGGAGGCCGGAAATCCTTGCTTTTTTCTCTGTAGGTCAACTCTCCTCGTCTTCCTCCTCCTCCTCCTCTGTTTTTGGTTGGGGGTTTCTCCTGTGGGATTTCCCCCCCCCCCCCGGGTCCATGGCAGTTTTGGTAGGGGTGCTATTTTCCCTTTGGTGGCGCCTTGATTAGAGTATCGTATTCTGCTTGATTGGTTGTTTGTCTGGGGTTAATCCCTGCTTGTCTGTTGGTTGCTGGATAAGATGCGTTCTGGTCTTGTTGTCCCCTTTTTAGCTTTTTATTGTCTCTTCCGAATGGCGTGTAAATGTAGTTTACGGGTCTGTTTAATATATTACATTCAAATAGAATTTGCTAAAACTACCGAGGAGAAAACCACACACACCCCCAACTCTGACAGGGCAAGCCGCTTGTAAAAAGAGAGCAAAGCCCACTCCTTTCTAGCACTGAAGTTGTCACCTAGCAGGATAATGAAGAAAATAGCCAAATTCAAAGAATACTAAGGACCCAACAGTCCTCCTCCCTCCTCCTCCTCCTCCTCCACCACCACCTCCTCCCCCTCCTCTTCCTCTTCCTCCTCCCACTCCTCTTCCTCTTCCTCCCCCTCCTCCTCCTTTCTGCAAACCCCACTCCCTTCTAGCACATGATGTTACCTAGTTGGGTACTGAAATATCTGCAAGAAAGCTCAAAGACCACCAAAACTCCAGCAGGCTTCCTCCTCCTCCTCCTCCTCCTCCTCCTCCTCCTCCTCCTCCTCCTCCTCCTCCCCTCTGCAAATCCCCCTCCTGTCAAGCACTGATGATCATCCCTAGTTGTCTTGTGAAACTTCTGCAAACAACCCAAGAATCGAACTCGGCACAAGGGCTTGGCAATGCTCACCAGGTGTTTCCCCCCTCCCTCCCTCCCTTTTCTTCCCTTCTCAGACTCACTTGCAAAAACTGATGAACTCCGAAGAGGAAGCTTGCCGGAATCTGGCTTTCAACCTCGCTCTGCGCTCCATTCAGAATAATCCCAGGTACTGGGGCCCAGAGGGGAGGGGGCTAAGAGGAGGTCAGGGCTCAGCTCTGAGGAGAAACCCCCAGCCCCAGAAAAGACCTCTAACCCTCCGTCTGGCCGGCCTGAGGTAGCAAAGGTTACCTTCGATTCTTACCCTCCTCCGTTCCTTTTTTGTGTGTGTACGTCTCTTTTTTTCTCTCCTCCTTTCCTTTTTGCAAACCTGCAGCATTGCAGCTGATTTCCTGCCCACCTTCATGTACTGCCTTGGCAGCTGCGACTTCGAAGTTGTCCAGACCGCCCTGAGAAACCTGCCCGAATACACCCTGCTCTGCCAAGGTGAGTCCAGACTCTCATCTGACCTGGCACCCAAAGCCCCAGCCTTGCAAAGGGGTCCTAAAGAGAAGGTGGCTCCCTGGGTGAGCTGAGCTACAATGTCCCATAACTCCTCACCATCGATCATCTGGGTAATGGGAATTGTTATCTAGAATATGGGAAGGCTTGAGGTGGGTGAGAGAAAACGCTGAAATACAGCATCGGGATAAACCATGCATCCGTTAATAAAGGCAGGTCTGTCGTAACATTGAACGGTTGTGATCCATCGGTCGTAAACGATTCTTGTTTTAAAAGGAGGAGTTATTTATTTATTTAGCGTGCGGCCTTTACGGACGTTATCCAATCACTGATACACAAAGTTAGTTTAAATAAAGCATTAGGATAGATGGATGGATGAACGGACAGGTAGGTAGGTAGGTAGATGATAGGTATGTAGAGAGAGAGAAGTAGATGTAGATGATAGATTAGGTAGGTAGGTAGATGATTGGTAGATGGATGGTAGGTGGGTAGGTAGAAATATAGATGATAGGTAGAGAGAGAGAGAGAAATGGAGGTAAATGATAGGTGGGTAGGTAGCTAGGTAGATAGATGGATGATAAGTAGATAGATGGGTGATAGGTAGATAGGTA